TGTGGCCTCCTCTGGCCCCGCTCCAGCAGCTCCGTGTCCTTGTGCAGTTAAAACTGTTTTGTGCAGTTAAAACTGATCAAATTGCTTCTGGCTCTTAATTTCCTTTTGCACCTGATGCTCTACCATAATCTTTCAAAATGAGATTAAAAATGCACCACGTTTACGTACCTACTGCATTCAGGAGAACATTCCTTCCAAAGCAAGGTGCTGACCGGATCAGCTGCACACCCTAGTCAGGAGGAACAGGGAATGGCGGAATTGCCCAACGCCCTCTGACTTACACGATTCTAAAATCCCCACAAAATCCCTACCACGCCTGAAGACCATTTATTTGTGAACTAGACATCAAAAATCAAAGTGTGGCTTAATTAATTTCAGTGTCTTAAATTTCACGAAAACTAAATCTACAAGCAGAAGCGATCATCTGGGAATCAAGAGGCCAAAAGCAAACCTGAGTATCCTAAAGTTCATCTGCAACGGCCACCTTAAATTTCAGGCATTCAATGAGACTTTACAGGTAATTTCCAGTCACACAGACAACACTCTCAGATATCTTCACAAAAAGGCAGAGCTTTTTATTCTTAACAAGACATACCACGAAGATCCCACTATATTATCTACAGAACATAAAATCTCTGAAAGATGGATGTTTCCGTGTACCCAAATAAAAAACAAAAACCAAAAAAATCAAACACAGACTCTGACCATGACTCTAAATCACTCTGCAGCTCTAGGAATTAATACAGATCCCAGAAGAGCAGATTAAATTCAAATCTTAGCTCACACTTGACAGTCAGAAACTTTTCAAACTCCCTGCTGTCGCTTTCCATCCCACCACGAAGGTTACTGCCTTGCACCCTGGAGCCCACGCGGTCACCGTCCAGGCTGCCACATTCCTCAGCATGCACCCAATAGAGGTGTCTGCCAAAACCCATCTAACATCTGGTGTATTTCAGACAGGAAAGTGTTCCAGCACCTGGAAGTCACCAGTGTGGTTTATTCCCCTCACCCTGTGAGGGGTCCCAGCTTCAGCAGCAGTGTCGCAGGCGATCTGGCCGAGTAACACCCAGAACTTGGCAGAACAGAGTTGAAAAAACAATAGGAAAACAACACAAAAGTGTTCATTTCCTTCGGTGCCAGATTTCCTACAGCACGGAGCACGGGATTTTGCTTTTGGCAAAACCACCTATATCCATTTCTGAAGTCCCAACACAAAAAAACAGGGAAAAAAGATGGGTGATGACTGCCACCTGCATGTTTGCACTTGCACATCTACACAGTGTGATTGCATCACACACTGGTCATCTCAGGATTAACACTTACTTTTTACCAGCTTGTACCATCACCACGAAGATATTTCAGAATAATTTTTAACAGCTTACGACATGGTTCAGAAATGGAAGCCTTAGAAAAACAAAACTTTCCCTTTATTTGTATTGCACCTTTTTCACAAATAGCTACATGGCAGAAGTTCCTTCTGCTGCAAAATGCTACATCAGAAAAACGTGGGTTTGAACACACATGGGAAGGAAAAAGTCTTGAGCTTCAGGAATCATCATGATTTGACCCCAAATTACCAACGTTATTTTTACAAATCACTGTACACCTAAAAAGCCTAAGTATTGCCTCAATTTTGTTTAGCATTCAGGTATTTCAAAATCACAAGCGTTTTACCAGGTGATAAAGATGCTCTAATCACTACTGGGTACTAAAATTGAATCTGCAAGGGAAATATTTTCAACAGATCTCCAAAGAGCACCAAATACTCCACAGAGCTATCAACAGAAAACCCACGTGTAGTGGGGATTGGTTTCTTTCACATTGGTGTTTCTAGAACTATCCAGGATTGTTTTGGGAAGAATTTCCCAATTTTGTGATGTATTTACATGTATGTTAGAAATGCACACTGGAAATTAACACATTTCCAAGGATACCAGTGGCGAGTTACAGGATCCAGATCAGCTTAGTTTCAGTCCACGTCACCACCCGGTAACGTATCACACCCACACAGCAAAACCTCAATCCCATTTCTCCATCACTACTGATGTATGGCACTCCCAGAGCTTCCTGCAAGGAAAAACCCCAAACCAACCCCCTTCGCTTTGAGTTAATAACAGGGTCGTTGTACACGATTGTCTAGATATGCCCTTTTTATTCCAGTGTTTCCACACTTTCTACAGACCTATGTACATAGTTAAATACGTCATTCATTTACAAACTGTGTTAGAACAAACGTCTCACCTTGCCAAGCGAAACCTCGCAGCGGTCCGAGGTTAAAACAGTCATTCCAGCAGTGTCAGAAACTTCCTTTACCTGAACGTGGGCAATATTGCTTAGGGACTGGGATTCAGGAACTCAGCAAAACCACCTCCTGTGACCCATTCACTGGTTTAATGACGTGTTCTACCATTCAAAACCAGCCCTCTCCACCACAGACCTGAGCCAGAAGAGCACTGCCTCTTCCCAGGCAGTCTCCAGGGAACAGATTCACTCTAAACAGACGATATCCTTGTTTTGGGGCAGTCCCTTTTTGCTCTGCAAGTGCAGAATTTTGTTTCAGAGACACAGTGAGGCCACGAGCCCGGACTGGATTTTGGGACAAGGTGTTTCCAACACAAAGCCCTCACCTGCTACTGTACTCCTGGCAGGAAAAACGGAGCTACAGACGTGCCACAGTAAGCGTGCGGCGCAAGCTTCCTCTGACAAGAGCTGCAAAAAAGACCTGGTAATATTCTTTAACAGGCGAATCCAGGATGCAGAGCTTTACTCCAAAGAAGAGTTCAAGGGTAGGAAGATGTTGCAGTGGTAGCCACACCAGAAAACCTCCGGCTGACCTCACAGCATGCCCTGGGGCCTCCACTGCTACTATTTTCTGGTATTTCACCCCACTATGAAGTAGGGAAGAATCATCTCCGTTTTCCAAACGGGAAACTGAGGCACAAAGAACACAAGCGTTTGCAGCAGTCTAGTAGTTTCCAGCTAGCTCCCTTTGACAGCAGTTGGAGAACTTCAGACCCTGTAAAAATCTCAGCCTCAACGCCTCACCCTCAAATCAGTCTTCTGCAGAGCCAGAACCTAATCCAAACGCAGAGTCCACACAATCCTTTTTACGTGCCTGTAAAAGCACTTAAACATCGGGAAGCGAGCCTTAGAAATGCACATTGTGCACTCTCCCATATTAAAAAGAAATAATTATACATAAATTAACACTGGAACAGGCAAAAGACATTTTGTCTGAAAGACTGCTTTTCCTTGTTATCTCGTTGTTGTTAACCTGGTTTAGGGAATAATTTCTTTGGATTTTCTAAACTAAAAGCCCAAGTTCTAAGCTAGCATGAACAGATTCAACTCCAGTCCAGCCAAGGAAGTTCTGCTCACCAACATTAGCAGCACATTTAACCCTTTCCTCTTTTGGGCTGTACAGTGGAAGGCAGGCTACGTAACGGCCTCCACGGTGAGCCAAAAGAGTAACATCAGGTCAACTTTGCACTTAGAAATAAATTCCTTATTATCCAGAAAGGGGCCAGATCATCTCACGTCATGGAAATGGCCGTTCATAAAGCAATAAATACGTGGAGGGAGTGTTCTGTACCACACCCTACATTTTGTCACTGGTATCTCATACCTCTCGAGTCAAAACATAACACTTATGCTATCACAAATCTCACTGTACAACAGCTTTTCTGTTAAGGAAAGAAGGCCCCTAAAATCTTCTTTCACTAAAGTACTAACAATAACAATCTGATCCAGTGAAACCCCAGTTCAACTGGTTTCATTCTTTTCACGCGCAGACGCAGTATCTGATGCACGACAATCGACTCGTCTCGAATTAAGTATGTTTGTTTGTACTAACTGAATCAGTTCTTAACCATAAATTACCTATTTACTGCTGATTCAAATGATTTTTTCTTAACAATTTACTATTGGAGCTAGGAGAGTCACAGGAACAGAGCAGGACACAAAATTTAACTTCTTTCAGTGGAAAGCAGAAGTCAGACTAAATGCACACAGCAACTCCAACAGCAGTAATTAAGAAACTTAAAAAAAAAAAACAATTAGGGGCTAAAAAGATAGACTTCAGAAACAATTAAGAATGACAACTATTCAAATTAATGCATTCATAATATATGAATCATATAAAAGAGCATAATTTATGCATAAAACTGAGAAGAAAACACCTTAAACCTTTCAATTTCTACAGTCACAAAAGAGTTTTGTAAGAACAGGTGTGAAGCAAGTTAAAAAAAAAAAAAAATTCGCATTATTCCAAACACTTTATTTGTGAAGGTGTTTTCTGTATTGCCGAGGAAGAGCAGTGTCTGGAGTTACAGGACGACATCATTCAGAAAACAATCAGGATCTTAAGCTCTGTTTGTTACCTACAGTGACTGGGACACCAGCAGTTTTAGAGAATTGTGTTTCTCTATGCCTGAAGTACGCCCCTGGAAGAGATCAGTCTTCCTACTGTCTGCTCTTTCCGAAACACTTCTGGTTTGTCACGAAAAACTGAAGGCATAGGCACAAAAGTAATTCATACCCACGTGAAGTTTCACAGCTGCTCGAGCTGGATTCAGGCCTCCCTACTGCATCTGATCCCTATCCCAGTTGCAACTGATTTAGTTTCACTTCTTCCTGAAAGTTTCATTAAAAGAAAGTATCATTAAAACGTAACAGAGAACAAATTAAAGGTGACGTTACCAGCACGGAGACAAAATACTGGCCAGAATTTAGCTGCCAAAAGAGCGCCGCTGAAAAGGAGCAGTGACAGCAGGGGTTTTCCTCTCCAGTTCTGAACGCGCGTTTCACCAGAACCTCTGCCCAAAGCTACACTGGGCGCCCAGTTCCAGTGCCAGGTCTGAGTTGTTCCACGTCTAAAGCTCGGCAGAAGCTGCAGGTCCGTACCGCTTTCGCCACACACGCACCTTGCCCTCTGCAAAACCTGCACAACAAAATGGCTCTACATTCACGGATGCACTGAAAGTTTCTGATAATGCTGGGGACACTCTGATACCACAGTCTGTACCTGTTTGCTGCATTCTATATATCAAAACGATTTAAGTTGTAGGTAGTGGGGTAGTTTTGCCGATTATACTGGAAGTGGTCTGTTAGGATATTGGTTCGACCATACTGATAGTCCCCGTGTTGTGCAAACGCCGTGAGTCCGTTCTGAGACTTTTCGGGTGTGTTTCGATGCCGGTCCAAATTCACAAGGTCTCCAGTTGTAACTGGAAGTAGCTGCTTCTTTGCTTCTTGGTTTGCATCGTATTTTGTCTAGGAAAGAAAGAAAGAAAGAAAGAATGTTTTTCTTAGATACCACCTAACACATTCATATACCTAGAAAAAAGTGCACGGTTTTACAATTACACCACCGCCTATGTCTGTTAGAGTCCTAAAATATTAGTGACTTGTAATAAAAACTTCATTCCTCTCACATGCCAAATCAGTTCGCTGCTCTTTTGCTCAAGAGATCTGAGCGAGTTACTTCCCAATCTTCGTTTTTCAAGAAAATACTAAGATCAAAATTTAAGTTTGTTAGAGGCCTAACGGCTGGCCTGACCCGAGCACATCGTCTGGGTGATACACGTACCTCCTCTGCAATGAGGTTTTGTGCCACACGCTCTACAATTTGGTCCTGCTAGCTGTTAACTTGTACAAAAAAACCCACTGAAAGCTACTGGACTGTTTCAAGCGAGTTTCCTGAATATAAAAATCAAACCAACCCCTCACCTTGTTATACAAGAAAACCCCTAAGATGGCTGTCATCATCCCAAGGACATTGGTGCTCGTAACCGGATTGCGAAGCATGATAAGGGACACTGTGATGACCATGATTCTCTTGGTGGCGTTTGCGACAGAGTAACTCAGTGGGCTGATGAGGTTCAGGATGCTGAAGGCAATGACGTTCTGGGCGAAATTACAGAATCCACTGATGATAAGCAGCATCAAGGTCCAGGACCAATGAGACATGGTGCTCTGTTGTAAGGACAAACGTTACAAGAAAAAAAAAATTATCTCAGGTTTCAGATAAGAGACAAACACAAATACAACTTGAGTCACCTCCTACCTGCCTTTGACAGGAAGAACATCTGCAACTTAACTCCAAAGAGGCACCCAAGTGTGTTACATTATGCAGCTATCAACTCTGAGAAAACATCCCTCTACGTACTTGCAACGCGCGCTCCGGGTGCATTTGTTCCTGGCTCCAGCTGCTAATGCCTGAGATTTACGCTGTCACATAAGCCACCTCTGCTAATCCGGACAGGAATTCTCACGATAAACACTATGCTTATTTTTTTATACTGTTTTGTGAAACAATTTGCAGATATTTCACAACAGTTCCTTCCATGCTGATGAGGAACCACACCGAAACCCTGAAGCGCACTTCTTCGGTACGGGTGGTGGGTGGTGTGTGTTTGTTGGTGGGTTTTTTTTTTCCTCTTTTCTTTCTTATCAGCAAACAGTTTCCCAAATACAACACTTACCAAGTCATTCTCTACTAAGAAGGAAGAAAGATCTACCAAAACCCACGTTGGGATCATGAAGAACACAGCATGGCACCCGAGTATGTTCAGCAACCGAAGGTGATGTATTCGGGAATCTCGTAACACCTGACAAAAAACATCATTAAACTGCTTTTCCCCAGCTACTGCCCACGTTATCAGCAGAGATTTATGTAACTGTAACAGCTTTAGACAACAGACAAATTATGGAAATTGGTAAATACTGTTATAGTATGAACTTCCCATAAGGACAACCAAATTAAAACTGATGTCCATTTGAAAAACAATAGTTTCTTGAGTGGTGACTCGTAGTATCAACAAAATAATAACACATTTAAAATGCTCTACAACCCAGAAATCATTTTATAACTAAACAGATTCAAGACATACATTTTAACTTTGCTTTTAAGACTTCAGGGAGTGCCCGGTGTGGACACTGACTCATTCACTACACATAAAGGATTTGATACAGCAAGATACTTTAAAAGCTTTCAAATGAACTGTTCAATTTAAGCACTATCGCACTAAATCCATGCCAAGGAGTAAAGAAAAGGCTCAGGATAAGCTCTGAGTTCTGCCCAGTTTTCAGTGTAACAGCTTTGACAGGTAGGAAGAGCTGCAGAGAACAGGCATAATGATCAGCCAACTGCTGCTTTGGGCTCCTTTGACTACAAAGTCAACTTAAAAAAAAAATAAAATACACACATGCACTGGGAAACACACGCTGATCTGCTAACGGATGGTGCTACTGACCAACGACACGAACAGCAAAACCCTTACCTTCTTGGAGAAGATGTTCTGAAGGGAAAAACACAGAGTGGCAGCGAGTGCACTGATGAGTCCCCACATGTCGAAGGAAAGCTCCGTGACTGTGGCCAACAGGACACCAGTTATTATGGGGATCAGAGACAAGTACACCTGAAAGAGAGAGGAGAAGCTTACGTCTGCGAAGAGTTTTCATTTCCACTGAGCTTACACGTTCCGCTGGTCTGGGGAGGGAAGGAGAAGGATGAATAAAGCAACGGAACCAGGGATCAACTGTGGTACTACTGTAGTTTGAGGAAATTAAGTGACTCAACACACACTACAACTACTCCAGTGCACCGGAGGGCACCGCCTTGCTCAACGCTTGGACCTGTTTCCTTGACACTCACAATAAAAGGAAAAGGAACTGGTCAATTCTGCATACTCTAATTTCACCCAACTAACCAAAATTCACCTCAAATTCACCCAGCTAACGAAAATTCACCCCAAATTCACCCAGCTAACCAAAATTCACTCCAAATTCACCCAGCTAACCAAAATTCACCCCAGATTCACTCAGCTAACTGAAGCCGGAGCTCTCCCGACCCCGGCCAGCAGAGCACACCACAACCACCCCCAAGAGAAGAAACCTCAGCAAACCTGTCCGCACCTTCGTCGTCTGCTTCTCCTTCATTATGATCCGCGACAGAAGAACCACCCATATTGGCATCGTCGCTTTTACTGGGAACGGAAAGAAAATGTCGGTGCGCACGCACAGCCTGGGCCAACCCCATCAGTCACCGTTGGCAGGGGTGGGCGCTGGGCATGGAGGAGGGGCTCAGCACCGGTGCCACCAACACCACAACCTCAGCCCACGCTGGGTCGTCCCTCCTTGTCACTGTGCTGGGCACTGTACGAACACAGGCTGGCTTTGGTGTGCTCGGACACTGTGCCGGGCACCCATATGGGCACAGGTGGGCACAGCACACTGTGCCGGGCAACCACGTGAGCACACGTCAGGCTTCAGGTCACTGCACTGGTATGAGTGTGCACTGAGGACCAGGACTCTGTGCTGGGCACCCATGTGGGCACAGAGCGGAGTCTGGGACACTGCACTGGGCACCCATACGGGCACAGAGCAGAGTTGGGGACACTATACTGGGCACCCATACAGGCACAGAGCGGAGTCTGGGACACTGTACTGGGCACCCATACGGGCACAGAGCGGAGTTGGGGACGCTATACTGGGCACCCATACGGGCACAGAGCGGAGACTGGGACACTGCACTGGGCACCCATACGGGCACAGAGCAGAGTTCGGGACACCTGTATGAGCACACACTGGCTTTCTGGTCACCCCACTGGGCACCAGCGCACGCAAACGCTGGGCCCCAGGACGTCCCACCGGGCACCGTCCGAGCACACACCGGGCTTCGGGCCACTGCCCCGGGCCCCCACGGGAGCACGACCGGCGCTGGGACACCCCCCCGGGCACAAGGGCACCCCACGGGGCACCCCC